CCCAATACCAATATTATTTATTTTAAAGGCCCCCCCCCACAAGAGCCCCCCCCCCCCCCCCAGCATAAATAAAAAAAATAAAATAAAAGAAGAAATTTCGATTTTTCATGATGACAGTGAATGTTTCTTTTGATCTCTTTGAGTGTTATGAGAGAAGAAAGAAACAATCGAAGAATTATGTAAAAAAGATTTAAAATAAAATTGTCAAAGTCATTAGAAAAATAATTATTGAAAAGATTTCCTGTCGAATTATTTCTCATTGACAAAATTTTGCTTTTTTAAAAAGAATAAAAACTGTTGTTGAAATAATGAAATTTAATCTTTCTCGAATTTGTCTTTACTCATGAAATTGAATAAGAAGAAAAGAACTTTTGATGAAAATTCAAATGTGAAAATGTGAAATAAATCAATTCTTTTGCGAATCTTTTTCATTTTATCAACATTTTATGTCAATTCATTTCCGAAGAATTTTTATGAAGAATACAATATTTCTTTCATTTGAAGAACACCGAAGTTTTTCTCAATTTTTATTCGATTCATTAAAATCTTCACATAAATTATGATTATTCAATGAAATTAATCAATTTTGTTATTGGATATTCGAAAAAAGAAGATAAATTTGGAAATAATTTCAATAATATTCACATTGCTTTTTGGATTTATTTTGTAAAAAAACCATTTAAATGAAATTGACATTTGAAAGTTTTTAATCGAAGAAATGATAAATTCTTCTTATTTCATCAAATTTCAATTGTTGAATTCTAAAATAATTCTGTTTTCTTCATTGCATGAAAAGATTAGAAACATTACTTTGGAATTCGTTTCGGTGGAATATTCGAAGACTAAATGTATTTTAACACACATTCATTGTTATTTTCTCATGAAAAGACAAAAATATTTCGTTTCGATTTATTATGAAATAAAACATTTCGACGATTAAATGTATAAAAGAAAAATATTTCAAAATGATTGGTTGATCGTGATTAATATTTGTAATTGAGATACTGGATGATTTGGTATAGAAGAGGAATTAATCATTCGAAATGGATCGAAGTGAATTGTTGAGAAGAGAACGAAGGAGAAAGACTCATCAATTATTATTTATTAATTTGTACAAACATAATGAACTAAGATGAAGAAATTGTCAAAGTGAATATTTTGAAAGAAATAGATAAAGTGAATAACGTGTGTTTTTATTCGATCAATGTGATCAACAAGGGAGATTTCTGATTGTTTTTTCAATTGAGAATTTCTCATTTGGAGACTTTGTTGTGAATATTTCAAATGAGTAAGTGAACAAAACATATCGATGATAATAGAAACATTAAAATACAATTTCATTTATTAGGAACTCAAAATGTTGTTTGAGACATTGTGATGATAATTTCCAGATTTGCGAAGAAAATCTCAATTTAGTCTTCCATATAAACGATAATTAATATTTTGATATACAACATAAGAAAATTCAATTTTTATTTGATATTTTCGAAAGCTATGAAAAACAATAATCGATAAGATCAAAATGAGAATATCGTCTATCCCAGAATTGCATCTTTGTTTATACAGAACATTCTATTATCGTGAATGATCAATCGAGTTCCCTGAGGGAAATTTTTGAATAGGATAACTGCTCAATTCGGATGAAATGCTATCACATAAGTTTATATACAGACATGTGCGATTTCTTCGACAAAGATGATCTTCTCATTGATTTTGTGTCTTGGAGTATCTACGCATGCTCATTTATACTTCATTTGTCACACTACCGGATTAGCATAGGTCATTTCTGGAGTTTCGATGCTGTATTCGAGGTCAACGTTTACAGTATAAAGTAAGAGTACGAGTACGAGAGAAAGCAGAAGTGAAGGAGATTGAAATTTCTGAATTCCAAGTTTCTGATTGAAGAATTGCATTTTTCTATGATTAACTAAAGAACGAACCACTTTCATCATATTTCTCGAGTTTTTATTTGCACATAAAAGTTTTCCTTCTCTTCACATGAATTATTCACGAGAAAATTTCATCTAGTCACATCTCACTAGAGTATATTTCTGTAATTCCATTCTGAGGACCGATATATCCGCCAATAACCAAGACTTTTCCACTAGTCAGTAAAGATGCTGTATGATAAGAGCGATTATATTTCATGTTGCCAGCGGCTGTCCAAGCGCCGGTAGATGGATCGTACAGTTCAGCACTGTCTAAAGAGTGATCGGAGTGTCCTCCAACGACTAAGACTTTTCCGTTTGGTAACAAAGTTGCTGAATGAGCATAGCGTGGGGTTTTCATACTACGTGTTGTGGCCCATTGATTCTTCAATGGGTTGAACAACTCAGCAGAGTTCCGCATCACTCCGATTGAACTATATCCACCATTTACCAGCACTCTTCCATCTTGGAGCACAGCTGCTGCATGATCAATGCGATCAATGTTCCTGTCATTTGTTCTGATCCATGCATCTGCTTTCGGATCATACAACTCACTCGTCTTTGGGGACATACCTATGGAGCAAAAACCGAATCCACCAGTGATTAGTACTTTTCCATTTGTTAACAACGATGCTTGATGATATACACGAGCACAGGTCATGCTTTGAGTAGCTGTCCAAACACCTGTCTGAGGATCGTATAGTTCAGCAGTATCTTGAGCTATTCCTCCATTGTTCCAACCACCTGCAACGAGCACTTTTCCACTCTGCAGCACAATGGCTGTGTGTTGAGATCGGTGATGGATCATGCTTTGTGCGTTTGTCCACGTATTCGCTGATCCATTGTACAGTTCAGCACTTGAAAGAGCCATGTCAGAGTTTCCACCACCAGTCACTAGCACCAAGCCATTATCCAACAAAGATGCGGTGTGATGCACTCTTGCAACAGACATGATTGCTACTAGTATCCATTGATCTCTTGATGGATTATATAGTTCACATTCACGAAGAACTCCTTTGTGATTGTATCCACCAGTGATCAATACCTTTCCATTCTGCAATACAGTTACAGTATGCCGCTTCCGATTGATGTTTAGTTCTGCTGCCATTGTCCATTCTAAACAGATTTCACGCCTTTAAATGATGCTCATTCAAAGAATTACTTTTCTCGAACGAACTCTACAGAGAGGAATCTGATCCTTTTGTAAAACACGATCCGAAGGAGAGTGTTGAAGTATTTAAGGGTGAACATTTTGACCACTCCCCCTCCGCCCCCCCCCCCCCCCCCACCCCCCCCTGAACGCCTCATCGGTCTCCCG